CAATCTTAAACGCTATATAATTTTACAGTTATGATACTATTCCGTACATAATTTTCCAATTATGATATTATTTCAATCCTTAATGCAGGGGCCCTCAGGGCACTTACCCGGAGCCCCATGCTAATGAATTTACGTTTCCTTTCTGTGAGAGGTGGTTGTAGGGAGCTTCAATATATCGATTTGCCCAGGAATCCATATAGCTGTTAAAGCGGCAGTGCCGTATGTAATTGTAGTGTTACTATACTATTTCTATCTTTAACACTTTACAGGATTAAAGATAGAAATAGTATCATACTATTCTGATCATAAACCCTATATAATTATACTTTATGGTACTATTCCAATTATGAATATTATGTAATTGTACAGTTATGATACTACTCCGATCCTAAACCCTGTGTAATTGTACAGTTATTACACTATTTCGATTCTAAATCTACATTCTCAACGAAATTTATCCTCTAGTTCTTTCATTTTAAACAATAGTCGATTTTCAGAAATATTTCAAATTCTTATCAAGAATATTCAGCCCCAAGAATTCGACTGAGATTATCCAAACCCAAATATTTTAAATCTGATTCCGAACTGACTAGACGAACTCATTTTCTAAAGGTTGTAGCTAGTATAAAAAATCTGCCCTTTTTACACGCTATGGTGCAGTAATTAATGCGTTATGAATGTTATATTTTGATGTGCAGCCTAGCTCAATTAAAAAACTCTTCTTTATTCCGAACAATTTGGAATGTAAAATAATGCCCTAAAATACTTTTCAAATTGTTGCCTCCAAATGTCTCACCATCTGTTATAAAGTAAATAAATAATGAAGAACTTGTATGTATGTTCCTCGCATTGTAGAAAAAGTCGTATAGTTCTTCACCCGAATAGAATACGTATAGTTAGTTCTGCACCTCGAAACTAGAATTTTGAATTTAAATTTTTTTTACTTATTTCATTTTGTATGAATTTAATGTGTTTTTTGTTAACTAACTCAGCGATTTGAAAGCAAGGAAGGGCAACACTGTTCGAAAGAAAACACTTTTTTTTTATCTCCAACGTACGAGACTCTCTATAAGGTATACTGTTTATAAGGTACTTTCTAAAGGTATGCTGTTTTTAAATATTATTAGACTAAAGCGGCGTCAGCCCAAAAGCTCTCGAAACGTGTGTGTGTCTGTAAATGAAATAAGCGCCCCTTTGGGGGTAGTATAAAATCTGAAAGCTTTCAGATTTTATGCCTGTTATTTTTTATTTTATTTATTTATTTTTTTATTTATTTTTAAATTTTCATAAGCCATGCAACTTCTCAATGAAATCCTCATAAATATTTTCCTGTCATGATCTTCTCAAGTTATTAGCGTGCTATTATATGATCATATATCAACCACACATTTCGCTGGAATACATTAAATTCTCTTTCAAAGCACGCATTATATGATCATATATCAACCACACATTTTATACAAAATTCTTTCAAAGTATATATTTCGCTGGAATACATTAAATTCTCTTTCAAAGCACGCATTATATGATCATATATCAACCACACATTTCGCTGGAATACATTAAATTCTCTTTCAAAGCACGCTTATATAGCATAATATCACCACACATTTTCGCTGGAATACATTAAATCTCTTTCAAGCACGCATTATATGATAACCCATTTCGCTGGGAATAATTCTCTTTCATTATATGATCATAACAACACACATTTCGCTGGAATACATTAAATTCTCTTTCAAAGCACGCATTATATCATATTTAAATATCTTAAATATTAAGCTTACACATAGAGTTACTACTCTATATTTGAGTGTATTGAAGGTTAAAATTCTCCTGTTCTCCTGTTCAGATCGCAGAGAATGGTTAAGCGGAGTTACTCCTAGTAGTGCTTCTTTTTTTCCTCCATGCTTTTCTTTCCTCTTACATACCGGGCTGTAAAATCCGATTTTCTAGCCTTCAAGATCCTAATATCGCGCTGTCATACACACAAATTTGCAATAGTGTGGTACTTACAGAGCGAGGGGATGGAAACCTCTCCCTTGCTTTTCTCCACCACATAAAGGCAGCTCACCATTCCAAATCCAACAAACAATTTGGAGTCCTGCTTTGCATCTCAAATAATCGCCTGCCTACCTCGCCCAGAAGAGGAGCTTTCAGAAGCCAAAGAGCGAGAAATCGGGGTTGGCACTTCTTAAACGAACCGTACAGCCCCGTGAATTTCCAAAGGGGAAACAAAATCCACTGCGGTAGAGATCAAAGGAAAAGCGATAGCCAATTGAGACGGAATTGTCAATACTAGGACTTTGAGATTCGGCCTCTTTCCGTCTCGTTTGCTTATTCCGTCGAATACACAATGGAAGTAGAAAGGGTGCTGCTGGTATTTTATCGTGGCTCAGAAAAGGAAAGAAGGGAGGAAAAAAAAAAAGTGTGTTCAATGAAATTAAGACGATGAAAGGGAAAAAAATGAAAGCTGATGATAAATTAAAAAGCCCGTAGTCGTTGAAAATGTAATCCCAAATCAATATTTATGAGGATCTAGCTGTATATAGCTATCGCTCAACCTTAATGTGTTTTTAACCAATTATTAATATAAACAGTAGGAAAGTTGAATAAAAATTATCAAGAAATGTTGCTTCAAAGTTTGTGTTGAATTAAAATTAGAGAATAAATGTTATCTTAACATACATACAATTAGGAAACAAAGGTGCAAGTTTATAAACTAATTTTAGAAGTTTTATAGTCTAACTAACCATTTTGTGTTTTCCAAATTCCGTTATCCTCTGCTTCTCCTGCTTCAAAGGTATACAGTTAATATTTAAGAAGCAACAATATATGTTCGGGTAATGTTTACACAGCAAATAGCACTATTAGGGGGATTTTGTGCGAGTTCCTGTATTCTTCTGGTTTGTCGGTGAACTGAAATGGCAACAAATCAAAGTCTAGTTTGTTTTAGTTTATTACGGCAACGCACACTAGAACTACCTGCCTGAAGGACGGGATGCCTTCGTAGAGAACTTTCTAGAAGAAACTGGATCGTATTCACATTACAAATGGGAAGAATCGTGAAAACGCTCATGCAGCCAGCCCGTTAGCCTGGATTTGAGGCAGCGGTAGACAGATAAATTACCAAGAATCTATTATCAGTAACTGTAAAGTTATAGAATATCAGTTTCTTGAAATGATAACTCATTCAAAAAATAGCTTTAAATCATATTCAGAGATAAATTTTAAATTTTCATATTTTTAAACAAATGAGATTTTGTATTTAAGTTTTCACCGTAATGATTCGATAGCTTAAAAGCGAAAATTGTTTTTTAAAAGCTAATTGTAATCGAGCCATTAAACTGTTAATTAAGACAATTATTTGGAGAAATATTCATATATTTAATTCAGCAGTTATAGGACCAGAACTGAGAATGAATCTCATACAACAAAATTAAACTTTATTAAGTATATAAATATAATTATAGCATACCAATACGAATTATTATGTTCAGTAATAGCTACTAAAATATCAACCATATTCTTTTAATACTACTAAAAATGACTTCATCACTTTGCTTAAAATAATACAATAAGTTAACATTTTGTTTCATAAAACTTTTTATTATTAATAAAAATACACCGCTTTTCAGAAATGATTGACTCTTGCATCTTTAGAATTCACTCTACTCGTTGCCAACTCCAGCAAGGCATTCTTCTAATTATTCAAATTACAGAGCATTGCCATTTTCTCGCAGACGATTATTCAAAATTTTTGTGAAACATCGTTACGAAACTAATCGAAGCAGTTTAATTTCTATTCATTTTATCCAGTGTATTCTAGTTTAGTAATAACACGCTTTAACTTAAAACGAATTTTTTTTAAAGGCAGCGCATTGATTAGAAGACTTTTTTTAAAGAAATCTTTTGAGAACTAAAAGCCAGATATTTATGGCTTTAAGCACTGTCTCCTCTAGAGCTCTTTCTTTTTTTTTTTTTTTTTTTTTTTTTTCTATATATATATATATTCCCTTTCCCCTTCTTTTCCTTCGACTTTCGGTATTAGAAATTCGAAATATTCTGTATCAGTTGGCGACGGAAGTTGTGTATTCACGGATACGCACCCCGAAGGTACTGCTACCAAGAAGAAACAGTTCGAATGTCAACATACCTCTCCCCCCTTCGAATCATCTCCCTCCTATGTATGTACTTCAAGTTTAAATCCAAACCGATCTGGGATTACAAGCATGTCGCCATGTTTGACACAACTCGGCACAATACCCAGCGTGAAGTGATGCCCTCCGGCGATTACGAAGTGGGGGAGGAGATTTTTGCCCTTCCTCCCTGCTCTCATAGCCATCACATAAACCTAAGGCTTATTTTCCTCAGCTTCAGTTTGGGATTTGTATTTTACGTGCAGTTGTTGGGGGACTGAGCCAAAATGGCAGATATGTGAAGTTTTGACGCATATACAATAGCCACACCAACCGCGGATTTGTCAGACTCGAAGAATGGATGGTTCACCATACCGGCAGCAGCGGCAACTGCTTTGAGTACACACTGTAAATAAAGGCGGCCGTTTTATGGCTCGCAAAACATAGCTTTGGGAGCACACTTTAAATTTCATGCACTGTAGGAATCTTTCTTCTTCCATAATTGAATTCACTTAGAATACAATATATCTGATCTGGAATAAAGAAAATGAAAATAGTGATAGGTATCTGAAAATATTTAATGTTGAAAAACAAGTAAAGCAAGTTAATCAAGAGAAAATTAAGTCTGGAAAAGAATATTATAATAACTTAAAAAATTGTTAAAAATAAGCAAAGAAAATCTTTAATGACAAAAATAACCGATGAATTTGGTAAATGGTAAATGTAGATGGTTTCATATCTAAAACGTAAATCTTAAATAGCAAATATAAATGAGGAATTTGCTTAAAAAAAATACCATGAATTCTCAAGATTTTACGTACTGTCAGTTGGATTGTAGATCCTTTTAAATGTGAAATTGCTATGATACCAGAAGAACCTTCAGGTTTGGCAGAAGCAATTCTTGAGCTTCGATCTAATACTGAAGCACGTATTCAATTTGAGAGTAAACCAAATCTGTCGTCTTTTTGGATGTCAAAAGCTGCAAAGGCTTTCAAAATTGCACATGAAGAGTCGGTTAAAACATTGCTGCCATTTGGAACAACATATTTGTGCGAACAAGGCTTTTCCACTCTAATGAACATAAAAACGAAGAACAGAAATCGATTAAACGCCGAAGACTGTATTCAAATCGCTCTTACATCAAAAAGTCCCAATTTTGAAGCAATTGTATCGAACATGAAACAACATCATTTCTCCAAAACGTGAAGGAAGAATGTTTTCAATTATTCTTTTTTTTTTTTTTTTTCCTAATTTTTTCAATTCTAATTTTTGTTTGTACCACCATTATTATTATTATTATTATTATTTGTTACAGTACCCCAAATTGTCAACCCTCAATTGTACCCCAATGGGTTTCAATTTGTTATATATATTACTTATATTACTATTATTACCGTTATGTATTACTAGGTATTACATTGATAAATTGAATAAATGATGTTTAAATTAAATTTTTAGTTATTGTTTTCTTTTCAAAATTATCATGGGGGCTATAATATAAAAGATGCTAATAAATAATAAAAGGCGATTTCGTTTTTTTTTTTTTTTTTTTTTTTTTTTTTTTCCTTTGCCATGGGGTAATATTAACTTACAGAAAAATATTTTTGGGTAATGATTAAAAAAGTTCCCCGACCGCTGATTAATATCGACGAGCTTTAAGTAAACTATCATATTTTGTTTATAAAATTTATGTCTAAATGATAATGTTGCTTGCCTACGGGTTCGTAATATATTGAATGCACACAGGTCCGATGATAGATTGAGAAAATGTATTTTATTTATATTGCTTTTACACTTTAGAATTCTGGAACTTTCCGCAGAAATTCGTGTACAGATGTTAACAGTATCTCAGACTACACTCAGTAGTTACACTTCAAACTAAACAACGCAGTGCAAAGTACACGTTAAACGTTAAACGCAACGTGAACGTTAAACACAACGCAGTGCAAAGTGCATCCAAAAGACGAACCTTTTCACAAAGGATATCACAAAACTCAGAAGTCGCTTTGAATTAACTACTCACAACAACTGAGAACTGATAATCTCTCTGGTCTTATATAGTTTTTACCTAGCAGCCGAGATATTTCTAGTATTTTCTGCTTCTCGAAATTACTAGAACGGTTATACGGTTACAGTTAATATAGTGATCAGTTACAGTTATTCAATTACAGTACCTAGCACGGTGATAAATGTACCAGACACAAATATTGCCAAATGGGCGTTAAGTTTTGTGACTTTTGGAGATTTATCGCAAAATTTGTCGCCAAAACCGTTGCCAACTTGGTGGTATCTCGCCAAATTAACGAGATAGCCATTTACTCAAAGTTAAATAGACTAGCCCTTGTTTTCTGATTTTTTCGGTTCAGCATCAATGCTCTCAGTTTTTCATGTTATATTATACAGAAAAATACAACTTCACATATATCTTCACTAAAATTATCTATCTAGGTACAAAATTCGTAACAATAATTAAAAACACTTCTCATATTTTATTATTCTGTTCTCTCATGGATACTGGTCTTAAACTTACTCATGTACACATCTTTCATTTGTTCATTTGAAAAATATCGCTTCGATCGTGGTATATCCTGTGGTGATAAATATTTTCGGATTCATAAATCAATAACTTAATAATGACGAAAATTTTAAAAGAAACATATCATTAGAATGTTTGATACATTGTATTGATGTTTCAAAAATTCTAAAGATTTGCTTGTAATTTTTGACACAAAAGTATTCCCATACATTTCTTTACTTATTCGTTATATTATTTAATTACTATATTATTTCTTTAAAAATAATATACAGTGATAATATTTGCTATTAGCATCCTTTTACTCGTATTTGAAAAGTGATTCGATGCAAAAGTGAAACGAGGATACATTTAATTCATTGAAACTCATTTAAGAAGATAATTTAATTACTTCATAATGAGAGCTCCTACTGATAATGAGCTTATTCTCATTGCATTTGACATAATTCTAAAATTACTTTAATGCTTATAAAATGTAATATGCTGTTCTCAGTTACATACATGTTTTAAATATGAAATCTGAGAAGTTTTGGATTATCTGAAGGTGTCTCCCCCCCCCCACGAAAATCTGTTTAGAGTAAGTAAAGCGTATCTTCCAATTTATCAGTTTAAGCCAAAATTTAATATATCGTTTCCATACGTGCAAAAGCCTGATTACCAAAAATTGGAAAGTTTTGGATTCTAAATACAGTTTTTCATTAAAAACTATTATGGGCTTCAAGTAAAGTATCCTTGGTTGTCCATTTTTAGCCAAAATCTAAACATATTTTTATATGAACGCAGAAAGCTTAAATACGGGAAACAGAAATTTTTGGAAGTTTCATATAAAAGTCATCGTGGACGAACAAATCGTCATGCACATGCAGGCACACAGACAGACACACGTGATTGTAAAAAAACTGAAAACATGTTGCGGGGATCTTAATTCGTGTTTATTTACTCAAAGCTCAGTACTGAATTTTTAGAACAAAAACGTTATTTTTCATATATCATAACGTAGTTTCTCCCTCCTTTCCGTATGCCTTCGTGGTTTAATCAGAAGCGTACTCGACGCGTATTCGAGAGGAGCAAGGTTGGAGTTTCGGCTTGAGCACTGCCCATTTTTCATGTCTCCTGCTTCAAAATAACTTTGTAGAGACATTAGGTTATTTCGACGCAGGCGACAAGAAAAATGAGCAACGCTCTTGCCGGGACTCGAACCTCCGACCTCTGGAATACGCGATGAGTGTGCTGGCCATTACACCACAAAGGCATGCTAAGAAGGCGGGAGAAATACCTTATAATTCTACAAGTTGACCTATTGAGTCTACAAGTGGCATTCGAACTAAAAGGGGAGTGGACGATAATTCATCACAACCAGGCCTTGGCAGTTGGATCTTCTCATCTTCAGTCACCCTTTAAAAGGGGGAGTATATAAGGTATTTTCTCCCTCCTTTCCACATGCCTTCATGGTGTAACTGGAAGCATACTCGACACGTATTCGAAAGGACCAGAGTTCGAGTCCCGGTGAGGCACAGTACGTTTTTTACGTCTCCTGCTTCAAAAAAGTCTAATGACTCATCAACCTATGCATGTTGAGTTGGCTGGAGGTACAAATTTGCAATTTAATTATTGGAATTTTTAGACCGTAATGAAAGGTTGTGGTCTATTATTTAGTTCAAGTATTCTGAGTTCTATTATATTTAAATAATATTTACTTCATTGACGGACTATACTAAAGATAGTCGCATGTAAGAAAATTCTGAATCATAGAATCGATATTTTTTGATAATTTTTTTCTCCTTTCCTGGGACAAAGAAAGTGAACAGAAAATTTTTCCCGTTTGATATATCCCTGGCTTATTACTCACAACTCAAGTTCAAACAACCTCCAGATAAATCCAACGTATGATAGAAACAAGGCGACTGTAACGTAACAAACTTACACCGTTATTTCACCAAACCTATGAACAGCTACAGTAGATTTAAACCACTGTTCTTCTAAAAAACAAAATTCTGATAGCTTCTTGGATGAACCGCAACTGAAAAATTCAAAGCAAAACGAATGCATCCTAGAGATGGATCCTCTTCGTCTCAGAATTTAAGGAGTGGGGGGGGGGGAGACTTCCGCGATTGACATATCACATGTGTTTTCATACAAATCTCAATATTTGATGCATGCCTCCCTGAGGTAAACCGAGAGAGCTACCCAATTCGTGGATTATTCACGACTTTTGATGTGTTCATTTTCTTTTGATATCAGATGGCTTCCACCATTCTCAGCACTGGTTTGTTTCCGTGAGTTTTTCAGGCAGTCTAAAATTGAAGTTTGTTATCAAATTTACAAGTGCATATACATATTGATAGAGGAGTAGATATACATATAAACAAGGAAATAGATAAGAAAATATATATTTATCTTAGAAAACAAAAGGCATTTAATAACACAGATATGGGATGTATACCTTATATCACATTTTCTGGCATGATTCTGGAATTACATTTTAAAAAACACTTTCAAATAAATAGTAGCATAATAATATGTTTCCTTAAAAGTCAACTACGTAAAAATAACTTAGGCACCTATATTATGTATGCGTCCACAAAAGTGGTTACCCGGCTTTTACTCTTGCAATCGTTCGTCGTAGACATATACTTCCAATTACAAAAAGGTTTTAAATATCGCGAAGATTCGTGTTCTCGTATTTAAAATAAATAAATAAAAAACGAAATCTTACCGATTTTATATTACGCCCAAAGGGGCGTTTGTTTACGTTTTGTTTATTATCTTTATTTATCAAATATCATGCTCTTCTCACTTACACCATAAAATTCAGTTCAACAGCAATATCACAAAATATTTAAAAAGAGCATGTCTTTAGAATTACGTGAAGTGTTGCCATTGCTCACTTTGAAATTGTTGAGTTTGTTAATCAGAAATTTGTTAGTTTTACAATCTATGAAATAGGTAATAAAACTAATTCCAAAATCTGGGCTTCCAGATGCCCATATTCGGGTGGAGGACTATGTTGTTCAAAGTTTGATATCTCTACGTACCGTTGTTTTTCCACAATGCGAGAAACATGCATACATTCATGCAAATTTTTCATTAGTTAATTTTTTTTAATATTGTTGCGCTTTTCTTTTCTGACACCAGTTGTTACGTTATTTTCCTCCTTCACGTTCAGCCAGTACTAAACAGGACAGCTCCAAAACACGTTTTTACAGTCGTCGATGAACTACTATAAACACGCTGACACGATCAGCGACACAGCCTCCAGGTTATCAGGCTATCACGATGGAGACAGCTTCACGGCAAAGCACTAGAGTACAGCTCCCGACTCTGCTCGGTCGTTCTCGGAACTCCACGTACTCTCGAGACTCTCCACTCTACAACTCGCGATGCACTCGAGACACACAGAGCAAAGCTCCTTACTCTTCGGTTCAGTCGTTCCCGGAGCTTAATACGTTCTCTCGACGATGCACTAACCGTGATGAGACTCTTCGATGTACTCCACGACCCACTAGGCACTCGCTGCCCGGGTGTCAACTCGATCGACTCCACACGGACTGACTAACTGGAGACTAACTATCTCGCACTCGACTCTAGACGAGGCACACACTCTCAATGACTGACTATGAGCTCGCTAGACGAGGCACTCTCACTGAGACACTCACTGACTGCGAACCAGCAG